AGAAATTCACTAGGGAGCCAAAGGGGGCGCCAGCCTGAAAAAGTTTGGGAACCACTGACTTATCGCATGGGTAATTAACGGTGTAAGGTAATCCTTATGACATACGAGAAATTTTTGTGCGCGTGGTTCTTAACAACGCTTTTGGAACATGATTTTTCTATTCTTAATATTTTTTTATGAAAGATTTTAATGCCCAGTAATGCCACATCATATAATAATATTATACTTTTCCTACAGTTATATACATTACTTTAAAGTCTTGCGTCAGTTTACATCCAAAACTAATTTTAAACAAGTATATCCGTCACCATGAAGGCCAAGCTAGTAATTCCAGTCTGTTTCCTCCTGGCGACTTTGGTCAGTAGTAATTAATGTTGAGGGTCTTAGGAAAATATTCGTTTGTTATTTGATAGATCTTGCTGAAATTTTCTGCACACATCTAGAGCAATAATTCAAGCTCGTTTTGTTCGTATGATTCTTTGAGAAAACATAAAATGTTAAAATCTAAAGGAAACGTAAAATGGGGGGACTCCATGAAGTCTCCAACTGGTACGGATCCAGATTCATAATTAAATAAAAATTTTCAATTCAAAAATTATTATTATGCCTATCAATTCTTGGGATCTTTTTCAATTTAATTTTATATATTTGTGTTAAATTTTTTTAATGTAAATTATGTTTGCTAAAAAATAAATCGCCTATTAAGTGAAACCATGTTCAAACTGTAGAGGTTAAATATATCACTTAGCTCTTAATTCCCGGCTCTTCCACCGCCTTCATCTTGTACGGCGTGGAGATGCTGGCAGGTGCGGCATGATCGAGTCCCTCAAGTCTAACTCGTGCAAACGTTTGCTTCTATCAGACGCCCTGTGGTTCGGCTAAGACGTGCATGTCAGCGACCAGACTGCGATGCAGCCTTGTAAAATCAATATTTCGTGACCACGTTACATAAGCTATGATAGTTACGTAAATAGATCGGCAAACAAGGATTATGTTATGTTGTCAAGCGCTAGGCCTGTGCTAATATTTGGAATGTTTTGGTAACTTATATTTAAACGTATTTACATTACAGTTGGTTTTAGGTAATGATAAATAAAATTCATGGACAGAAAATAGCGATTTCCAATTAACGAGTAGCTGTTCTGAACTATAATGGCTAAAATTTACAACCATTCTTAGAAAATGACTTGCGGGGGTAACTCAACGAAATATATGTACATGGTCGTTGGAAATATCTGTACAACGCTACATCATTCAATGTTGTTCACTTCAGCGTTATGCATAATTAACGCTATTCATATAATTCAGAAATTGCCTCGGTTACAAAATGAGGTCTTCACCATGAATAATGCATTGAGTCACTGATACATATTTTCTATTTGAACTCCATCGACTAAATGTTACGCCAAATTAAATCCCTTCTATAACTTTTTATTGCCATCGCATTTCCACTTTGGTATTGCCAGTCCGGTTTTATTTCTTCATATTTCTGACTGCGTGACAAGTCTTTCGGTCACAAGAGTTTAAGAACTGTTAGTCATTATAAGAATAAATTATTATGAACACATTATTTGAGAAAGACTGGATCGAGCAAACCTGCACGGCAATCTGTACAGGAATCAGAATTTAAACTATGTAACTACCAAATCAATTCTATCCACCTTTTATTCATTAGTTTATTTTGTTCATTGTTTTTTATTATAAGTAAATTTCTATTATATTCTGTACTTACATGTATCCATCTTTTAACATGGTAATTTGATCTTCTGCAGGGAACCGGCACTGATGAGTACACTGTCGCGGTGAGTATGAAAATTTTGCTGGGTAGTTGTCTAAAAACTGTGAAATGTATCCTTTTATATATGAATACGTCTTTTCCGTGTTTTAACGCCATCTAAAAAATAGAATTTACTTTCTTATTCTCAATAAATAATTACGAGTATTGCCTCAAACAGGTCAAGTATCACGGCACCAAGTCTGGCATGTCGTCCTGCACGTCGCGGTCCGTCAACGTCAACTTTCGATCCCTGGCGACGAAGTCAGGCGTCACTTACACGCGTCGCGCAATCACCGCCGCAACCAACGACTGCCTGAAGACCCTGGAGGAGAAGCTCGTGTCCGCGGCCGACCTGCGCTCCTGTGCGGAGCAGGCCGCCAAGACCAGTCAGTGCTGCTTTAAATAGTTTTATGTGATGTGAATGATGAGCCTTCGATTAGTTTAGTTCTCGTGCGTTATACAATTCTTTAATAGCCTTATACCTCTTTGTAAACTATGCATCATGAAGATTATAGAGACCTCAGGTGATGCCTCAGATGCCGATCAAATAATGGTAACCGCCTACCCAATAATTCAGTAGAGTCGTCATTTCAGACCACACGACCTTTGCTCTGCGTGACGGTGTGTGTTGGGGCACCCGCGTGCCCTGGCCCGTGGGTGCCTCCTGCACCTCTGGGGGGGACCACATCATCTACGTCGCCACCCAGCTGGTGGCACCTGCTGGTTAGATGGGGGAATCGTATGGAAAAGTTACTCTTGAATTTAAATTCAAATGGAAAGGGAAATATATGTTGAACTAATTTATTGACCAAGAATTAACACAGTTTTGTCAACCATCAGAGCCTAACGTGTCGAACTAGAGCGTCGGCGCAACGTACAACAACTCGCAAGTGATCTTCAACGTCACCTTCAACAACCAGAGCAAAAGTCGGTGCTTCATCACGTACCAGCTCGAGTTTGACGGCCAAACGAAGGTTGTGTCAAGTGGGGATGCGGTGGCAACAGAAGTCACCGGGTCTTGTCCAAACTTAACTTTCGTGCTCACCCGCCTCTTCGATCATGGGGCAGCCTTGGGGGCCCAGCAGCCTGTACCAAATCCCAGTAAAAGGTGAAAAGAAAACACAAAATTATTGCGAATGATTTTTGCCAAGAATCTCATTTATGAAGTTTGTCTATTACTACGAGTTTCCGCGAATTGACCAGGAGAGATCTTCTTGAAACAATTTACACTCCTTTACTTTAGAAAATTCTAATCCGTGAAATTTGTGCCCAGAATTGCCGGCTCCGGTAATCAACCCTTCAGCACTCACCTACCACTTCACGGTGAATTCGTCCGCAGGCGACTTGTCGTTCGCAGGCGTGATTCAGAGTAAGACGATGCATGTTAAACCAGCGACGTGACGTAATATTTATGGTGCGGAATCATGAGTGGATAGCGGAAATTTGCATTCGTGATAGCTTCTTAGCCTAATTGATTGATTTACGAGTAATGCTGCCACAATTATGACCAGCCTAAAATAAATATACTCTGGACCCTTTAATTTCGTTACTAATCTCATTTATAAAATATGAGAAATATTTCTGAACAACACATCGAAGAGTTTGATGATCGGTCAAGCAAACAGAACAAATTTACATGCAACTTTCGAGTCATATTGGAAGCTTATTGAAAAGCAATAACAGTTTTAAAGTTTCAATCAATTGATTCATTTGCATTACTGTAAATTCTAGGTAAATCGTGGTAAATTTTACTTAAAATCAATCATTTAACTAAAATTGAAGTCAAGAACGAAGATCAGCTGCAGTAAAATTCTATTCTAATCCTGAGTTCGAAGTGAAATTATATGTGAGAATAGAGTAGGAGCCGTGAGCGAAAATTAAGGGTATTTACACAGTTGCTTTGTTTACTCAAAACAGTTGTTATAACTCTTCCTTATTGGATGAAAGAAATCCTCCTTTATGTAGCTCTCCTTTACCATTAAAGGAGAGCTACTTACCAAGTATTTGCTGGTTCTTCTTAAGTAAATCACAGAATGTAAACACAAAATGGCTGTAGTATTCATGATGTTGACACGGCAGGATAATTTTGCCTTTATTTTGGGGAACAAGATCTAAATTGAAATTTTCATGTACTCCGGCTTTTTCCAGTAATGTGGAGGTATTTTCGATGATAAATTTTACTATTACAGGCGATCCATGCAATCTCATCAGGGGCTTTGAGGTGACTTTAACAGAATCGTTCCAGCACTCCAACGACATCGTCATTGAGGTGTCGAAACGCGACACCCACTTGGTCCTGCCCTGCCAAACAATAGATGTGTTAAAGGGGTTACGTACGACCATCCAAACCGTCGACGGGGTGCAGATAAATACGAACTTCCCAACTAAGAGTCCAGGTAAACCAAGTTCAAGGGTCTTGGTCAATTATCAAGTATTTGTAATTTTTGTAATTGTGAAATTCATGAAGCATTCTAGTTTGTGCTATCAAGATAGTAGCTGTCAAGAAATTGTTGTGGCATTGTTTCGTTACAGATACGGAATGAGATACTCCTACAAAATTAGATTTCATTTCACATTGCAAGAACTCGTGAGAAGTAAAAAAAAGATTTGGGGTCTCATCTCGAGACCCCACTCGTCTAGATCTAAAATGTTTTTAGGTTGAAAAACCCCAAAATTTATGAAATTAAAGCTAAATGATTTCATTTTCACTTAAACCAAATGAGCGAATAATTTTTCTATTCTTGGCCGCGATAACACAAAACCTCTTCTAATGAGGATATTCCTCTTGCTTACATTTCACTCGCGCATTATTCATTGAAGCAAATCACGGCAATCGTTACAGGGAAGATCTTGATGGCTCGGCATTAATTATATTGCTATCATGTGAACATTTATTCAGTTAGATTTCTGTCTGATTAAATTGGATAATTTGCCTCTTAGCTGTAATGTTGTTTATCTTCTTTCTGCACTGTTTAATTTACAAAGGAAGTTGAGTAATTTTCTCATGTAACAATAAATGACTGATAAATTTTAACGATCGAGTTTCTTAGATTTATTCTGTCGACGAGTAAGTGGTACTCACGCATTGATAATCAAATATTCTTGTCTAGAACCTCAAAGAAGACGATGAACCTCATGTCTATAAATGGACGTTCAGAAATGATCTGCACTGGCAGCGGTCGTTAAGATGCTACGGCGAATAGGTTACACAATGAAATTATTGAATTTCAGGAACCAGAACCACCAATGAAGAAATAAACTTTCGCTCGAGCCGCCAAGTTGCGTTTGAAATTTTGAGATTTATTATTAAGTTATGAAGAAGTATTAAACTCGCAGCTGTATGTGATAATGTATCTCAGAGGAAAACACTAATACCTACTCAATACCAACAGTTGTAACTGATGACGGCAACTACAGGTTCTACGACAGATTACTAAAGACTTGTGCGTCAGCGTTTACCAAACCGGTTTCTGCCTCCACGACCAACATCACTGCCTTATGTGCGAAGTTCGGACTGCAATCTTTTGGCGAGGAGATCTACTTGGAGAGCTTGGCTGGAATTAGCCAGTTTTACGGAGGTAAACAACCATTTCTAGACTAGAAAGTCCCATCGAACATCAAGATTGGATCCAATTATAGGAGTTATACTTTATTTCAAACAATTTTATTGTCATGAGATCCAATTTCTTCACATTATTGCCGCAAAAATTATTATTATGAGGCTGACGTTCTGGGCATGTCGAGATCCACTTCTTTTCTTCTTTTGGCCCCTTTTGCAAAAAGGGAGAAGTTCTTTTGCAAAAGGGGGCAAAGGATACAAACCATACTAGGCAGGATGACAAGGAAGTCTATTTTAGTCAGTCTGCTGTACTGATTTGTTGCTTTACTGTTCCGTCCTTCCCTTGCTTGCCTGCAATGTACCAGCAAGTACAACTGTTTCTTCTTTATTATTATTCATATGAAGTTGATATAAAATACATTTGGATAGACAGAAAAGTCTTGCCATTGTGCTGACTGGTACTTGCAAGACTTGGTACTTGGTGACTGGTCCTGGATTTAGGCTTGCCCTCATCAGAGGAAATCTTTCGTTGGTCTACTTTCAAATCAGATATACCATAGTTTGTCTTAAACTTCAAACTAGTACCTTGACAGTGTCTCATTCAATTCAAGACTCATTCAATTCCTAGCTTAGTAAGTTGCAGTGTTTTTCTATGCCCTGCATGTCTAATGAACCGTGGCGCTGCTATATTAAATCAGGTAAATGAGTCTGATTTCATACGTTACAATTTCCGCACTTGCGTAAGCATGGTTCGGAGGAGTTGTTTTCAGTGTTACACAGATCATGAATTGCAGCCGTCAGTTATATTTCGGAGTTTGTGATTGGCTGAATTAGAAGAGAATTAAAAGAAGATTTTCATTAAATTTATTAATAATGAAGCTAGATAAATTGTTTTACTGGTAAAAGAAGAATAGCGCCTGTCTTGTCGATCTGCGTAGTCGGTATACCAATGCGTGTGTTGATGCAGGCCGTTATCAGTGTTTCCTCAAGAGCCAGTGAGTAACTCTTCTGATGTTTGGTTCGTTATATATTTGAAATAAAAGGAAATTATTTATAAGGGATTTTTAAGGGGGAGCGTCTACCCCAAAATCTATCTCGGTTATTTACAGACGGATCACGGACGGAACTTGGTACGCGCAAGGAAAACCGAAATCTAAGCCTTTTTTGTTCGTGTAAATTTTTCGAGTAACAAGAACACGAACAACAACAAAGAAAGTAAAAACATCGAGACACATATCATTCGTCGCGTAAAGACCATATCTATAAAATGATATATGTTTTTTTTTTTAATTCTAGTTTTTGTGGGTGTGGAAGCCTTTTTCGGAAATTTTTTGATTTTACCCCCCGCCACGCCCCTTTTTGCAGAATAAAATTCAAACTATAACGGAATAAGAAAAAAACATAAACAATTTTGTACATCTTTTTTTGCGCATTGAATCGTATATGTCTCATTGTTGTTGCTTCAAAACTCTAGGAGGAGATAGGTTTGCCGTGACAGTGGTTGGAGGTTTTCAGGAGAGGTGATAAACCGCCCACTGGCGGCGCGCGCGCTATGTAAAGGCATGTAACGTAGCTTAGATACCGAAGGTAAGCGTTATCTCACTTCTAAGTCACTCAGCGGTGCATAGAACGACTGCAAGAACATCTTCCCGCATGATAGTTGGGAGGTAACTGAGCTGCAGGTCGACTGAGAGCACATTAATAGTGCCTTGCTTGAATTAATTGCCATAGGGTTTTGTGATGGGGCTCCACCCCTCCACTCTTTCGGGAACTGTCGTGAACGCATAGATCAGCGTACAGAGATGGTTATAGTACCTTTCGATGCGGCAGAAAGTAAGCTTTAAGATGAGCTGAAAAACATAAAAGCCGAAATTTTCGATTTTTAGGGTAGACGCTCCCCTGAAAACAAGTTGCACTCGTCTTAATGCAACTGAGAAACATTAATTATAATGTAAACCATCTAATTGAACACGACGAAGAAATGCCGTGATTAAGAAGCAATTTATATTGCCTTGAATACTGAGAAATTAAATTGTGTCCATTTCTGCATTGATTGGTTTTCATTTGAATATAAATTATTTAAATAAGAACAATTTTCCTCATTGGAAACAATACCTGTTGATGTCCACATTTTTAGAGGGAGTTTCCCCAGTATAAACTTTAAAATTCTTGCATCTGAAAGTATAGATCGTCCATACAGGCGGACGAATATTCGGGCATTTACAGCTGCCAACTTTTCAACGAATATCCCGTCGTTTGCAGCCTTTTGGGTCGACCTGAAGTTCTACCCTGACAGCGGCGAGTGGAAGTGGACCAGCAGCATGAACGTCCTGCCCTTCAATGCCAGCGCTTGGTTTTCCTACCAACAGGGAAATCACGGAAATTGCGCAGGCTTCAACACTTATTACAGATTGCTGGAAGACTCAGATTGTAACTGGATTAATGGTGTGGCGTGTTTCGGTTAACAATGGTGAGTTTTCCTTCATGAGCTGCTGCAGAATATTCGTCGATTTAGCATAATTTGATATTTCAGTTCAATGTATTGATGTCATTCAGCTTTCCATTTAGAAAATTTTATTACTCTGAAAATTTTACTTTGAAAATTACAGGCGTCTGTTCACAATACTCGTCGTGCCCATCAGAGTTATGTATGAGGATTTTCGCCTGATTAGAGTTAGTTTAAAGAGATATGATTTAGTCTTCATGATTATAATTTAATTCATCATTGATTGGTACTAGATTTCATTTCGTTAGGTTTCATCTGTAGCGCAACAGGATTCCTGTATGAGACACAGACGTTTTAAAGTTCTCGTAAGAATGGGCCACGACAATAGTACACAGATAATGTTACGTAGAAACACTGATACATATAATATTAAACTGTAAGTCAATGCACATCCCACGTTAACAGAAATGACTGGCATGAAAAAAGATAATGCGAAAAAATATCAGAGCCCAATAACTATCCCTTCACATCACTAAAACTCCCATGCATGTTACCCGATACGTTGAGCCGTAGAACGCGACTCCTGCCCCCGACCGTACATCATGCGCTCTTTTGCGGCCGTATTTCATGCGGCCTTGTCTCACGGACGGTCTGACCGTAGATTTTAGAGTAACCGTACTTTTAGAGTAACCGTACATCTTCATAATCCATGATGGTACATTTAGCTCGTTGCCGCATTCCTGTTGAAGATGAATGTGACCGTACCGCTGCTGATGACGACCGTGATCATACCGCGCTGATGACGACGCGACCGCACCGCTGCTGATGACGACCGCAGCCGTACCGCTGCTGATGACGACTTTGGTCGTACCGCTGCTGATAAAGACCGTGACCGCACCGCTGCTGATGACGACTGTGGTCGTACCGCTGCTGATAAAGACCGTGACCGCACCGCTGCTGATGACGACTGTGGTCGTACCGCTGCTGATAAAGACCGTGACCGTGCCGTGCTGATGACCGTACCAATGTTGATTGTTGCGCGGTGCACGAACTTGAATGTTATGATTGTCGGCGTCATAATCGCTTTACGTTGCGTTGTCTCTCGCGTTGTTTCGCGGCTAAGTCCCAGTCGCAGAATTGAATGATGACTCTCCAAGGAAGCGCAGTTATGACCGTTATGCATTTAAGACCGTTACATATAGATATATCTGCCGTTGTTATATCGGATTTTCGAATATCCGTTATGTCTGCCCCCCCCCCGGCTACATCTGCGTA